GGCAACAGGCAGGAGTGTTGAGTACATTTCTCAAGTGAGAGAGACTGGCAGTCTGTGTGGAGAAGAACAAGACTGTCTCATAGCCTTCTAGGAGCTCTGTGATAAATTCTCCACTGTCAAAGATACTGGCAGAAATCACAAACCCCAAAGGAGATAATAAAGTGGCTTGTGTGGAGATAAGTAGCAATGTAATCATGGACAACATTTTGAAAAATAAAGCAACCATGGTTTTGTTTTTGGTGTTTTTTTGTTGTTATACTCATTAATAGTGTATGTTTAACTATATGTCAATACTACAACAGACCTAATGCATGCTAATGGAGTAGTCGGGAAAAGACACGGCACTCGGTCAAGGGAGGACAGAGTTTGATATTGAAAATCCATTTTTAATATTGCATTTAGTATTCAGGCCATCCTCAAAAAAAGATTTAGCAGAAAGCATCCCAAAGTGGCAATGAAACTGATTAGAAGTGCAAAAAGATGTCAGTTCAAAGAAGAAGAAAAGGTTAAGTCTTTTTGACTAGTGGTGAGATAACTAAAGGGAGATAGGAGGGAATCAGAAATTAAAAGCCCGGACCAGCTAAGAGTGGAGTCATTGGGAAGCCTTTCATTAACATCAGCAGAGCTTGCAGTATGCCCTCTGTCAGCTCATGCTGTAGTATCTCTTCCTATCGGTTTAATATCTGATATGTCCTCAATGAGAGGACTTTATATTAAATGGATTTTTGGACTTGCTGGACATCAGGAAAAGGTTCTTTGCCCAGAGGGTGGTGGAGCACTGGAACAGGCTCCTCAGGGAGATGGTCATGGCACCAAGCCTGACAATATTCAAGAAGCATTTGGACAACGGCCTCAGACACATGGTCTGAATCTTGGGATTATCCTATACAGGGATAGGAGTTGGACTCAGTGATGCTTGTGGGTCCCTTCCAATTCACAACATTTTATGCTGGTTGTTCTTTCACAGTGGAGGAAAAGAGAAGATACTAAATGAAATGTACAATGAAATTCTATTTGCCATCTTAAGTACAGTGTATCTGTTATACTCCCTACCATTCCACAAGGAACCTATAAAAACATAAGGGTGAGATTCACACTTCTCCCAGGTACCAGAGCAGATATGGCCACCACTCCTGAATGAGAACCACACACCTGAATCTTACAGAGCCAGGAGGTGAAGATGGTGCTCAGAGGTGGCTAACGCTCAGAAGATGAGATTAGCCCTCAATGCCATTATAGGATAACATGGGACAGAGATGAAACACATCTCCTGCTGCCACAAAGTATGTCCAGACTCCTTGGTGCTCTGCAGTTGGTCAAATGGTTACATGCTGGAAAACATGTAGATGATTTATCATTCCCCATGTTCAGCCAATTAAAAGCTCAAGTTCAACAAGATACACCTTCAGTATGTATATAAGATATCCTGTTAATTGTTTTGAAGTGATTTCTCTAGAGGTAGCCTAGAGGTAAAGAAGTTTAAATGCTTGTTCTAAGCATGTGCCTTTTTCTCTTAAGTTTCCTCTAGCACTCTAAGAGTGGTAATTACTGTTTCTAAACTGCTAATTAAGCTTCTGGAGACATAGATGCCTGATTATAGTAAGTCTCAAAACACTAGTGCACTGAGAGTGGGATTTTCTCCTTGAACTGTGCCTGAAGATTAGCACTTCAGGGCTTGTACACTTAACATAATTTTATCAATCCTGCATGCTTTTCAAAACCATCTTTCAAAAGCCACTTCTGGTAAGATATAATTTTGACATCAGATGGTGCTGATATAGAGTCTTCTACGGTGTATGGTTGTGGCTAGGACCTTAGCTCTAACCTTTTGTTGTTCTTTGCTATGAAGTAGTCTTCCTTTAAATCTCTTTCTGAGAACAAGAAATAACTTTTGGTCCCAGAAAGCCCTCAGCTCACCCCAGCACAACCAGACAACACTGCCCTGACATTGTTGCCCCTCTTCTCAGCCTTCTACACATTCCCTCCATGATTCTGGGAGCAGTGGAAAGAGGACAGAGAGATTTCTCTTTGTCAGATAGGCCTTTCAATCGTTTGTTCAAAGGACAGTACTTGGGATGTAATAATTAGGGCTGGGGAGTGTTAGGTTCAAAGGACTTGTCGAATGCTGACAAGATAAAGGCACAAGTAACAGATACAGAAGGTCCAGAAGCTTGTTATATGCAAATTGGTAATGAAGTCAAACATGCTACAATGGTTTACAACTACTGGGCAATTTTACCCACATTTTTGGGAAATACTGAATCATGACTTGCTGATAGAGCTATGAAGGGCAGGTGACTGCAAGGGAAGGAATCAACAACAAAAATGGAAGAAGAGAAAGTAAATATCAACAAAAAGGCTTTTCTAAGACAGTCTGACATGGTGATCAAAGACGATTAATTAAAATTAAAAACCTGGAGATGTCAGAGTTTCTGGGAGCTACCTACCAGATCTGAGTTTCCTTTATATGATTCTTTCTTTTCCTTTACTACCAATGCTATCTATTGGCAAAACCACATTATTTTTCCAGGGATTTGTTCAGGGTCAAACTGTGGCCTGTGACCAGACAAAGACACAGGGAGCAGATGCAATTCCTTTGAAATTAAGTTATCCACTTGGTCTGAGTTTTACTCTCAGCAGCTTACATACAACTGAAATTTTGTTTTATACATTTGATTGAGGCTGTTGCATAAACTAAGGGATACAGACTGCAGGGTAGTTAAAAACATGAAAAGTGTTTTTTCTTTGTTGACAGTCAGATTCTGGTGTACATTTGAAAAAACACTCAGCTGTGTGTTGATAAACAAAACAACCAGCTTTCAAGTGATTTGGCTTGGTGGTTTGGGGTTTTGTTGTTGTAGATGCAGAATAGCTAAATCCTTTAAAAAAAATTTCATGATGTGTTTGTGTGTCAGCCTTCCCCTCTAAAGCTGCCAGCAGCAGGAAGCCCTTTATGAGCAGAAACACCTGTGGATGGTTGTCGTTTTTCAACCTTTCAAAGGGCATTCCTTGGCCTGCAGCTCTTCATGCAAAGTCAGAGCTAACCCTTTTGTGTGACCACAGGGTAAATATTATGGCCTCTGGAACCCCATCCGTGGGAATTCTCACACAGGGCTCGTTATGGCAGCATTTACAGAGTTGTAACAAAATTACTCTTGAAAAATACTTGATTCGGGCCTGCTCATGGAAAATGTTTTAATACTGAACAGCACGGACAGGCGCGTTGGGACTTTCCAGTCCGCGGCACGGCCACGACGGGCTCCGGCGGCAGCAGGGGACAAGCCCGGCTTTGCTCGTCGGTACAGCCACCAGCACCGCTGGCATCCCACCCTCCCCTGAGCCACTCTGTCCCACCCACGGGTCCTGCTCTTCCGCTTGCAAACACATCACGAT